AATTATGGGTTTTATTAAAGAGGTCTGTGACCTGAAACATTTTAAATAGATTATAGGCTTGGCCCGTGTTCCCCCTTCAAAATAAGCGTCATTGAGATTATAAGGAAATAACCCCAAACGTAACTCTAGTGCAACCTCACTCATCAGGGAGGAAAATAACCAATAGCATCCATTTGACCAAATAACCAGAATTTAACTATATTGTAGAAGTTTTGTGATGAAGTTTGCCTTAATTGCAGGGTATTACAAAGAACATGCTTATTTTCTGTGAAGATACAGGTAACACCCATTCCTTATCCATTTATACATTTAAAATTTGGACCGCTGCCCAAGTGGTCCTGGGTTCAGATCTCAGCTCTGTTGTCTGTTTAGATGTGTGGCCTTAGGCAGAATACTTCTTTCTTAGCCTCGGTTTTCTCATCTACAAAATGGAAAGAATAATATGGATTATGTATAATAAGCAGAATGCAGTTTAATTGTAAGGATTAAAGATGCACACTTAGCAAATGGGGATTGAATACTAGATCTACAGTGGACACTCTGCCGGGTGCTCAGATAAGACAGAGGACAACGTGGGTGGTGTCCAGGCCTGTGGGGATTATAGCAGTGAAATGCCAGGCGCGTGGTAGTTGCTTCAAGAAAGCGAACTAACCCTGGTATCGTTTCCTTTCCCTCTTTTTCTGGCATATATAAGGCACTCAGGAAAGGCTATGAAATATTTCTGGACAGAAACTCACCCATGTGGTTCATCATAGCACATTTGTTGTGCTGTGTACTTAATTCTTTAATCGCCATTAATCAGGGTGGCTTGGAGAGTCATCAAATTGTGGTTCGTGAGAAGCATCTGGCTTTTAATTTTGACTTCATTAATCCAGACTCACCTTTTTGGGTTATGGAAAAGCCCTGGCACCTCAGGGAAAGTGCTGTGAGGGGAGGTGGCTGAGGAGGGTCTGGGGACCCCTGCTCTCCCTGGCCCTTCCCACCTGAGTGGTCCTCGCAGGCTCTCGCCGAGCCATTCTTCGAGCTGCTTGCTCTCCGGTGGGTAGAAATGGGGCCACTCGTCCTGGAGACATGCCCGGGCTCCTCTCTCGGAAGCCACGACTGCCCAGGGCTGTTGGATGCTTGTCCCCTGGGAGGCGTCCAGGCTCCAGCCCCCATGGGTATGGGAGGAGGAAAAGAAGGCGAGGTCAGGGAGGGGCTTCCAGAAGGTCTTGCTGTCCCCCTGGCCTGGCCACCGTGGAAGCCGGTTGCTGTGGGCCTGCTTCCATCTTGTGCTTGGTCCTCACTGTTCCCCTGTTCTCTAGACTCCAGAGGTACGGTGGGGAGAGAGATGGGCAAGTCCCGAGCAGCATCAGGGGAGTGACGATCCTGACCGCAGGCTGTGCCTCCTGAAAGGACAGGCCCCGCTGGCTGCCCCTTATCTCTGCATCTGTTTCCCCGTATGCGGGATTCAGGGCTGCTCGCTCCGAAGAGACAATAAAAGCGTTCATGTCTGTAAGAGCTGCCCGGTGACGGTAATTTCCTGAGATTGTTGTGTTTTCTCCCATCAATATGTTGGCTCTGGCCTCAAGTCATTGGGGCTCCCTGTGCAGAGCAGAATATGGCAATGTTCCCGTGAAATAAGTGTTCCCTCTGGCATCTCCCTTTACAGGCCTGCTGGCCTTCATTTGGGTTTAGGTGAAGGTTTGTGAAAATAAGGTGTTAAGTCACTTCTGTGATAAACTCCCCTTCCTGACTGCAAGCTCTTGTACTGAGATCAGATCAAGCCTGAGTCCCATTTTCCATTTGACACTGGGCACTGCTTCCACGAGTCTAAATAGAAACACAGAGCCTGGGCCGTGCCTGTGTTCCTGGGGATGGGGTTATTTCACTGTCCCCTTCGAGACCCTTCCGGGCTGCCCCTTGGCAGCTTCTTGGTCTTGGAGTGGGTGGCGTTTCCTCTCCCTCAGACAATTTTCCATTGTCGGATTATTCCTTGGTCTTTGCCTAAAAGCAAAGTCACTTTTACAAAAAACTCACTACTTTTGAGTCTCAAGAGATGCAAATTTCGACTTTGGGGAAGTTTGAGGGAGCTTGTCAAGCTACGCCCCGAACCACAGTGTGATGTCAGACAAGACAGGCCACGGAATCACAGGGCTGGTGTGGACTGTGCCCTAATCCTTACGAATCTCAAAACGATGGTGCCAACAAAACATTCGTCCAGTCAAGGGGGGCGGCCCGTAAGCACAGCCCCAGGACTGCAGTGGCTGCAGGCCTACACATCGTGGGTCCGTGTAGGGTTGGTAGAGAGTGCATTTGGAAGTCTAAGTGAGTCTGAGGACCTAACAGTTCCACATGGAGGTTGCAGACATTCAGTGAAAATGGAAACAGGCCTGTGACAGGGATCCTGCATCCTCTGATCGCTGGGGTCGGCTGCCTACCACGCCCACTGTCCAGAGCACCAATGGACACTGAAGCAGGGCTGGATCCAGGAGGGTGCGCTCGCCCTGCCCCCTCGGAACACACAGGTGCACGCGCCCACCCTTAGCCACGGGCCCAGAGCATCCTTTTGCTGCTTTGTGACATGTTCTCACATCTCCCCACCTGAAGAGACCGATGCACCAAGGGGAGCCGGGAGTGGGTAGATTTTGCCCCGACAGTGAACCCAGAGGGTCCATAGGGTCCGGTGGGCTAGAAGGCACCTTCTCCGGCAGGGCTGGGGTGGGGGGCCATCAGCTGGGCCTTACGAAACATTTTCTCTTTTTACTCGGAAATTACTTGAATATACAGTAGGGTATTGAGAAAATCAGTCCCTGCCACTGAGCAGTGCGCAGTCATTAAAACAAGAATATTGATGCATATTTGTCAATTAAAAAGATGCATGTAGTATTAAATGAAAAAATTGTTTTACAGCAGTTTATTTGGAATATGTTTAGTGTCCTGTTCTTCTAAAAAGTTCTGTGTGTACACACACACACATACACACACAGAAAAAATGTAGTAGTCCTAAGTAGTGGAAATTATGGGCATTTACTTGCCTCTGTTTTAAAACAGTTGTAAAATATGTATCACTCGCATAGCAGAAAAAAAGTTCAAAGTCAACAAAATAAAAATTGGGAGATAGAGTATCATTTGTTGCTGCAACATTTGATTTCTATCTACTATATGTCGCCCCGTCAATACGGGGACACTTTAGAACTGGTTTGTGATATTTCACTGTAAAATACCGTGTTTGTCTTCAGAAAGCTGAATCTTGTATTAATGCTGCACAGTGAACACAAAGGTTTTTCTCATTTGAGTCTGTCTTGTTTCTTTAGAATTGTTTCAGCACGTTTCAGAAGAATCATAGGTTTTTTACCTTTTTTACTGCTAAAAGGATGTGAGACTTTGGACACATTGCTTTTTGGTGACCCTAGACAGGTTTCGTGTTTGCTTCTGGGGCTAGTTTGTCTGGCTTTGCTTTTGGTGGACCCTTAGTCTTGGGGCTGAAACACAAGTGAGCCATGGGGACTTTTTCCCTTCTGGGGTCATGGGCTGTACCCCAAAGGCCCACACTTGCCTTGGAAATTCGAGTCACAGCTCAGACTAGTGCAATGGCTTTTTCAGGAATAGATGCAAACCCTTCCCCATCCAGAGCCAGTGCTGGTCATCCGTGACCCTTCGTGACTAGTACCGCCAGGACTGAAACTGAAAATCTGTATTCCGAATGCACCATGATGGCTGTTACATACACACACACATGGCCTCTGTCTGCTCAGAGCTGTAGCCTCCCCTGAGAGGGTCAGACCCCCTGAACCTTCCATCGCTGTGCAGGCATCTGCCGAGAACAGGCCTGAAAGCGCAGACACACACATCTGAACGGGAGAGACAGAGGTGGTCCCCCAGAAGGAAGTGAGCTGATTTCGAGTCAAAACAGACTTCGTTGGCTGGTTGGAGAAGGCACTCTTCTGAAGGTTGTCCAGCAGAGCATAAACACGCAGACTTGGTGGAGGTCATCTGCTGCTGGGCCCCAGCTTTCCTATCCACAGAGCCTCCAGATGTCACCTACCGGGGCTACCTGAGACCTGTGAGGTGCAGGCCAGGCCCCTGAGTGCAGAACGCAGCCATCCCTCCCTCCTGCTCGGCTGACGTGGCCTCTCCCCGGTGTTTGTGGTGGCCGCGAGCGGAATGGTCCCCATCGCCACCCAAGGGCAGCTCCTCCAGGCTCGCTTTCTCTCTTTCCACCCGCCTGAGGAGCCAGCCACGTGTCAGCAGAACAGGAAGGTCTGGGCGCTCTCCGGGTCCGGTTTGGCAGCCGTCGTGAGGTTTCCTACTCCCCGCATCGGAGCCTGGCAGAGTCTCAGGCAGGGGCCCTGAAAGAGCGGGGGACAAAGCCAGCGGCGCGAGGCCCATCTGCCAGGCTGGAGGTGTATTTATTATTGATGGACGGAGCACGGTGGCTGCTCATATATGCAGCCCTGCCTGGGTAAATGAGACATTCTTCAGCAAATTGCTTCGTTTTTTGATTGCTGATTGTACGCGTGTCACCAAGCTGACTCAAGGTTCATCGATGCATGCTCAGTAAATTAGAAAGAACATAACTGTGGATCAGCCCAGAGAATGAATTCTGTGCCTACAATGACCCAGGGCCATTTAATTTTCTGCTTAATTTTGTTGCAGTCAGTTTGCATTTTGGGTTATTATGCAGTAGGAAATTAACAATAAATAACAAATTTGGTCCTCCTGTCCTTGTAATGATATTTTTATAAATCTTTGTAATGCTGTTTTTAAAAGGATCAAGGTCTGTGCCAGTCTGATACTCCAGCGAGTGTGTGAGGAGGAAAATGCATTATTCTTGGTAGATAGCCTCGTTGTTAAAGAGCTCAGCCCTTATCTCCCTTTCTCTCTCTCGTATCTTATGAGTAATTTGCTTTCAACTAAAATCCCTTCCTCTCTTTCTCAGATAACCCAAGGACCATGGATGCTGATGAGGGTCAAGACATGTCCCAAGTTTCAGGTGAGAGCTGGTGAGATGCCCATATGGGGAGGCCAGGAAGCCGGCTCCAGTGGGCACCCAAAGCCAAGGTGCTTGCTGGGGGACGGGGGAGGTAGAGGGCTGTCCTGCCAAAGGAAAGGCTGAGATGGAATTGGTATCCATGTTTCACTTCAGCTCTTAGAGATTATCCCAGTGTGAGAACCTGGACAGAAAAATCTCCCTCCCAGATAAAACTGGTTTTCCTGTTACATCTGCGAGCAACTTGGAAAGGATTCAATCTATGTCGATACTCTGGGGGAGCAGAAAGGACGGGTGATCTGCCCTAGAGTCCAAACACAGGCCAGTGAAGGTGCTTGAAAGAGAGAGAGAAAGATGGAGGGAGGAGGTGGAAGGGAGACAAGGAGAAAGTAGATTGGAAAACAGAGTTTGGGGCACAATTCAGGATATTTGCTAAACGTGGCAACAACACTGCCCCAGTCACCATAAGTTTATTTCAAGCCCTATTGGACATAGCTCCTCCCATCCCGGGAGACCCGGGGCCTGGGGCAGTCCTGGGAGATGAGGCCCAAGGTTGGATCACGCTGTCCTGCTGGGCGATGCCTGTGCACTGGTTCCCCCAGCCGGTCTAGCCAAGCCTGCCCGGCTCCATATTCATGGGCCCAGGAAGCCCACTGTCTGGCTAGCCCTGAACCTGGATGTGTCCGCAGCAGTCGGGTTTTCAGTATTTTATATTCTCCGGTGTCAGGCCCATGGTCAATCCCAGGTAAGCCTCTCTGCTAGAATGGCCCATGTGGTCCTCTGGGCATGGCCAACCTGCCCCCACTGGTTTCCAAGTTGTGACTGAATTCTGCGTCTGGGCCTCGGTCCGTCCTGGTGATGGAGATCCGGGCTGAGCGTGTGGCTGCCACTCTGCCTGCCCGCTGCTCCCAGGAGATGGGCAGGAGGGGAGAGTCAAGTTCCCTCAACCTGGAGACGGCCTCCTGCAGCCCACGGCCCCCCCTGCTCTGTCCCTGCCACTCCTGTCATTTAGAAAGTCTGGATTGAACTCTCCAGGCTGTGAGGTGCCAGCAGACTCCTGGTTTTCAGCTGTGGCATGTAGGCAGTTGATGGACAGTTGGAGGACGTGAACATTGGTCAACACGTTTGGCCTTATCTGTAGAAACGAAAGTTGTGTTGGAGGAGTCAGCCCAGGAGACATGGTCGCACACAGGCACGGGGCGTTTCTGCCGATGCTCACTGCAGCGTTGGTGCTGATACTGGGAAACTTTGGCCCCTCCGCGCCCTTGTTCGTTCAGCTCTGAGCAGTGAGGGCCATCTGAACATAGTCATGTGGGGAGACATCCAAGATGTATGTGAAGGTGAGAAAAGCGTGTTTCAGGATGATATGCAGAGTATGATCCCATCCTTTGAAATGAAAACATATCACGCACACACACACACACACACACACACACACACACACACACACACTTTCCACATGCCTGTATATATGTTTAGGAAAATTTTGGAGTGATACTTATTAAACATGCACTTCCTCTTGGAAGACTGAGGATGGGAGGAGGGGATGGGTTAGAGAAGAAGGGGACGGAGACTTTGGCTTTTCACCTTCTACCTTTCAGCATTATTTGGATATATTTCCCTTAAACACATACTTTGTTTCTTAAATGTAAGTAGAACAGCAACAACAATAAAGCTATTTAAAAAAACAAAAATTTTTGCTCTCTGGAGCCTCTCCTACGGCTTGGCCAGGATCTGATAGCTGCTGGTAGATGCAGTCTAAGCTGAAGGAGAGGTGAGCCCCATTCCCTGGAATTGCAGACCATGGCTCGAGGTGATGAGAGGGCCAGAAACACGAGATGTTAAACGTCCCAAAGGCGCAAAGAGACCCCTTCGTGGTTTCTGATCCTCTGTGTTCCCCTGGCACCTTCGTCTTGGGTGCCTTCCAGATTGGCGTCTTACATGATGCATTGAGGAGGAGGGCCCTTGGGTCCATGCAGACTCTGCTGTCCCAAAGGCAAAGCCGAAAGCCTGAGCCTGGGCTGGCATCTCTAGGAACTTTTGTAGGAGAATGACCAGTCAGTATTCTGATTCCCTCAGTTGGTAACAAACATAACAAAACCCTCATTTTCTTCTCCTATTTTTCTTGCCCTTAACATTATGCTAAACACTCAATTTGTTTGGAAGTGGCTAAAGAGAAGGTTGGCAGGGGGTGGAGTCAAGAGTGAGGTTGGCCTGAAAAAGCCAACTCTTCTTTGGTTTAAAAAAGATTCAAGATTTGGTCTGAAATTTACTTTTGTATACTCCTAGCAAAGGAAATGCTACTTGCAGTACTTTACACAAATAGTCCGTTGGATTGTGTTAAGCTTGGAGCATTCTAAACAGAAATTAGAGCATTTAAAGAGTTGTGCCCTTTTTAAAAAATTTTTTAAATTTATTTATTTATATTTTGGCTGCGTTGGGTCTTCATTGCTGCACGCGGGCTTTCTCTAGTTGCGGTGACGGGGCTACTCTTCGTTGCGGTGCGCGGGCTTCTCACTGTGGTGGCTTCTCTTGTTGCGGAGCACGGGCTCTAGGCGCGCGGGCTTCAGTGGTTGTGGCTAGCGGGCTCTAGCGCGCGGGCTCAGTAGTTGTGGTGCGTGGGCTCAGTAGTTGTGGCTCGCAGGCTCAGTAGTTGTGGCTCACAGGCTCTAGAGTGCAGGCTCAGTAGTTGTGGCACACGGGCTCAGTTGCTCCGCGGCATGTGGGATCTTCCAGGACCAGGACTCGAACCCGTGTCCCCTTCGTTGGCAGGCGAATTCTTAAGCACTGTTCCACCAGGGAAGCCCAAATTGTGCCATTTTTACTAGAGATTTGAAGCATACTTTTTCTACTTCTTGCTGCTTCTCCAATACAATCCTTGTAATGATCACTTTTCCTTTTTGATTTCTAAAATGGAGGAAGGTGGCAGTAAGTTGTAGAATAAGGATGTACATTTAGCCAAACAGAAGTTAAATTTTTGATTTATATGAGGAATATGTTCTGAATCATCCCCTTTCCCCACAAAATTATTCCTTGTTATATGCTGCTCCCAAAAAAGAAAAATAGATTTTTTTCTAAGTTGAACCCTACGAAATTGCCATTATCGTAGGTAAAAAACGTTCCAACACCCGCAATTTCATAGGAGTCCACCTAATCTATGTGCACTACTCCCTTGAAAAATAGAGAAGTACTTAATACCTAACTTTTTTTTCAAACTACCCGTTCCTTTCTTCCCTGGGATTTATCCTAAATGTGGACTGAGCCCTGGTTTACAGGGTCTTGCATATAGTAGACACTCAATAAATATTTACCCACTTGCATCCACCAGAGTCGGGAAATGCTCTTGAATAGGCTTGGAGGAGAGTGTGTCTAAAGCAAAGCCATCCTTTCCTTTAGGGCGCATCTCCTTCATTCTCTGGGTAAGTTTCCTATTGCTTTCTCTGTCTCTGTTTTCTTTGGCCCACTTTCCAAATTATTGGTTATGCGTGTGGTTTATGGTTTGTTTTGGGTTCTAAGGGAAGAGGCAGCCTGTGGGAGGACGGGAATTGTGAGGCCCGTATCAGCACCTCATCTGTGCCTCCAGCTCTGAGACCTGAAACCGTTCTCCATGCCTCCTGGACCACTGTGTGTCCTCTGCAAAATGGGGGACTGGAGCCAGTTGAGCTTAGAGGGTGCTCAGACTCCTGGGGCCCTATGGGATGTTTTCTTAGTGGTTGTTTGTAATGTTCGTTGGAACAAGGAAACAAGAACTATGCTCTGTAGACATCCATCGCCTGCCTGGGAAATGAGGCTCATCTCTGTTGAAGTGTCAGTGCAAGTGTTAATCAGAGTAAATCACATTGATTGAGTGCTTGAGATTTGCCAAACACCACCCTCGGCATTTTTCTCCTTTCAACTTTACAAGAATCCCATGAAGAAGATACAGGGACCGTCTTCAATTCACAGGGAGCTGAGACTCACAGATTCAATAACCAATCAGAAGTCCCACAGGAGCCAGACATGACACTGAGTAGGAGCTTCCCCACTATTCTGTGGAGTCTATTTTCTGAGTTGTTATTTACACCCAGGAATTATGTTCTCCTGGGTAACTGTGCATAGTAAAAACTCATCCACTAGGGAGAAAGGGAATCACAGAACTTTGTTGGGCGAATTATAATCTACTTGAGGAATATTTGCTTGCTGTTGATAAGCTAATTATACAATTTTCTCATCTGATTTGCCCAAAATGCTTCTCATAGGTAAAGCTTTATTTGAAACATGGGTAGTAGGTAACTTGCATAGAAATTGGTAAGAAGTTTCTTTCACTTTTCCTAAATAAGTAAAGTGACCTCTCACCTCCTAAATTCTTCCATTTCAATACTTGATTTCTCACTGTCTGCAGTTCTGCGTGTCTGTGTGACATTGTACATGCACTTGGGGGACACATGGGCACTTGGTGCTGTGCATACCTCTTTCTATAGGATGTTACATTTACAAAATAATACCATAAGCTTATTTAGCATATCAGCATCCATGCACTTTATTATTTTATCCTCACAACAACCTTGTGAGCTAAGCCAAAATCATGTTTTTTAGCCTCATTTTACTCTTGAGGAAAGAGTCTTAAAGAAGTGACTTATTATGGAATCTGTCTTATAATTGGTCAAATCTTAGCTGTACCCCGTGTCAACTAACTTCTAGTCACAGTGTGTTAATATCTGCTATGTGTTGACTTGATTTAATAACTTCATTTTCTTATCTTTTATCATGGTGTTGTATTTTATACCTGGTGTTGTATTTTAAGTGGTTAACTGGATAAATTGGTTTAAAATCAACACATAAAAATATGTTTACTCCCCATGAAGGTTTCGATGAAGTGGTGGAGGTTCATCGTGGAAATCTCCAGCAGGGAAAGGATCCCAGGGTCGCTGAGTACCAAGGCTCAAGCCAGTGATTAATGCTTCAGTAGCCGCTGCTCAAACTTGGGGGCTTTTAGGCAAATCAGATGAGCTCTTAAAAACCATCACAGAGTGCAGGCGAGCTGAGGCTGAATTCCAGCAGGGCTCGTGACAGGCACGCGGCTGTCTCACCTCGCTCTCTTCCAGTACTGACTTTTTACCAGATGCCCCTGCACACGCCGAGACTGATGTTTTATTCTCGCTGCTTCTGCATGGGGAGCTCCTATGGATCGACCCGACCCAGGGTATTTAGAATCATGGTCCCTACTGTTTCCATTATTCCTTTTTCTCCCCCGTGTAGGAAACAATGAAAGCGCTGAGATGCTGCCAGACTGCTGGGCTGTAGCTCAGCACAGGAGCCCAGCCAGGCGGAAGCACGCCTAGGATCTCACCAAGTTCTAGTTGGTCCTGTTCCCAAGAAACGAATCAGCTAAATTTGAAAAAAGATTATGTGGATGCATTTTTCACATGAGTGGAGGAGAGAGACCACATCCCTTCACTGGATAAATCCCGATTCTTTATGATGCTCCCTTGGTTTCCTCGTGCCCGGGCATCTAAATTGATCCCAGAGTTCTCCAGTGTTATCATCAGGAAGCTCAGAATAAAAAACAAAACAAAACATGAATACAGTCTAGTTTCTCAGTGTCCTGCTCCCAGCCCGTAACCATGACAGCTGGTTAATCAGAAAGGTGAACGTGCACACCCCACACTCTGTACCTTTAATGATCCAGTCAGTTTGTTGGGCCAGAGTTCCCATGGTCAGTTCTGTGGAGGCTCCTTGGGGGTCTTCGCAGAAGCAAGTAGCCTGGGCCTCTGGTCCTTCAGCCAGAGGCTGAAGATGGGCACAGAAGACGGGTTTCGTATGTTGAAGTTCTGTGTAAGAACTAGAGATTTTCACCCGAAGTGAAGTAAGTCAGACAGAGAAAGACAAATATCATATGATATCGCTTATATGCGGAATCTAAAATATGATACAAATCAACGTACCTATGAAACAGAAACAAACTCACAGACGTAGACAACAAACTTGTGGTTATCAAAGGGGAAAGGGGGACAGAGATGAATTAGAAGTTTGGAATTAACAGATACACTCTACTATACATAAAATAGACAAACAACAGGGTCCTACTATATAGCAGAGGGAACTGTATTCAATATCTTCTAAGAACCTATCATGGAAAAGAATCTGTAAAAGAATATGTGTGTGTGTGTGTATATGTATAACTGAATCACTTTGCTGTATACCTGAAACTAACACAATATTGTAAATCAACTTTACTTCAATAATTAAAAAAATATATTATTCTTACCAAAAAAAAAATTGAAGAAGAGTCCTCTGCCACCTCCCTGAAGTCCTCAAGGTTTGAAGACCACAGCTCTAGGAAATCAGAAGGAAAAAAGAGTTATCAGTTGGTCATATGCTTCCTGCAGGCTCCTGTTCAGAGCTTTGGCCCACCTGTACAGGTGAACAGAAACACTGCGTCTTTAGCTGTGTTGCTACTTTTAAAGTCTTCCTTTTAGGGCGATGGAAATATTACTGATGTAATGCACATTTAGTGTAACACGAACACTTGAGTCAATTTCTCTCTGGCCTTTGGCTTTTCCTTGGGAAATTCTTATCAGCCTGCCCCACCTTTAACTATCCATCTTGTATTGGCTATCCAAATATACCCAATAATGCTCTTTCTGAAAATATGCCAATTGAGGTAATTACCGCTAAGCTGGAATATTAAACTGTGATGTCTGTTTGCTAGAGAATGCGATGCTATTCCCCAAAGCGTCGCCTTGGTGCCTTGCAGCTTCTCTTTTAAATTATGCCTGGAAGGGTCGTCTCCTATGCCGGGCTGTGTCACTTTCGCAGGTGGTTTATTCAAACAAACAAGACAATTTCACACTCTGCCTCGCCCTGTCTTCCAGGCTTGTCTTCCACAGCAGTGCTCATGGGCTATTCTGCATCCACTGGGGGCCTCACCAGCTCTTTCCTTGCCTGGGCTTATTGTCTCCTAACTCAATTTTAGGTAACATCTGTGTTAGAAGGTACAGGGGTTTCCATTTCGAAGGAGAAGGAGAATTTTCTACATATCTAGGCTTCCCGGTATTGAATTCTTGGGAGTGGGGGTGATTTCCCCATTTCTGGAGCTTCCGATGAAACATTATAATATAGTCAAAAATAGAGTCAGGCATCCTATAAAACCCTATCTCATTTGGTAAATCCTACTTTGTGAAGCAGCTTTTGGAGTTGTGTGGATTCTGTTTTGCTTTCATATTTTGAGGATAAAAAGTCCTGGTGGCAGACTCTCTGTGCAGGTGGGGCAGAATCGTGTCGATTCCCTGTTCATCCTCCTTCCAGGCTTCCCGGCCCCATCAAGTTAATCAAATCGGGCAGCTGGCAAAATACCTACCCCCTGGCTCTTGAAAAAGAGAGTGAACAGACCCAGAATGTGTAGCTCTGAGCAGGACACTCAATCTGGTGACCTTAAAAACGAAATAATATGAGGGTGTGGTGAGCAGGCTTGTAGGAGGGTAAAGTGGAACAAACTTACAGGGGAAAATATGGCCCTAACACGTGAAGAGGCTTAAAAATGTGGACCCAGGCATAAAACTCCTGGGGTTTATACTACGGTGATTCTTAAAAACGTGGACAGAAGCTGTCTGTTTGGAGTTTTACCACAGTGTTGTTTCATTAAAAAAAAAAAAAAAAAAAAAAAAAAACAGATTGAAAACAATGTAAGTTCAAAAGTAGAAAAAGGATTTAAATAAATCCTAGTGTGCCCATGCAGTGACGTATTACACAGACACCACAAAGTTATGGAAGTAGGGCCACTGGTTATGATGATGTCTAAAAAGTACAGTTTATTTTGATCAAGAAAATATGTCACCACGCATTATCCATAATATATAAGTATCCATGTGTGTGTACACACACGCACACACACACACACACCACAGTTTTAATAGTGGTGATCCCTAGGTGATATGTATTTTTCACATCTGTGTCCTCTCAGTTTTGGGTGTGGCAATGATATTATTTTATAAAAAGGAAAGCAGGTTCTAATCCCCAGAGAGAAACGTGAACTCAATCCAGTAACTCGAATGAAGCCAAACCACGGTGAGGCCCATCGCAGTGACCACCACCCCAGGGGTGACCATGTCCCCAGAGACTCAAGCTCCTAATTGCCTCCTCAGGGAAGGAAAGCCCCCCGGTGAGTGACACCCCCGACGATGGCGATGAACCCATGCCTGTCCCTGAAGACCTTTCCACCACGTCTGGAGGCCAGCAGAGCTCCAAGGGTGACAGAGGACTGGGTAAGTGGCCTCCTGTCCACAGACTGTCACGTGCTCTAGTCCTCCTGGACCTTTGTCTCTTTACAGTCATTTCACCTGTGGTTTCCCCTCAACCCCCATGTCAAGGAAACACAAAATGCAGGACAGGGCCCTACTGTATGCAGGACGGGAGACCCAGCTCAGTGTGGTCTTGAGCCCTATGTGGGAAGCAGTGTGGCCAAGCTGCGGAGCATCCCCCAAAGCAGGCACATCACTGGCCTCCTGTCCTCAGTGCACTGCAGCAACATCCAAGTTTATGGATTGTAGATAGGGAAAATTATCCATTTTATATGTAATGGCAATAGGGCTGTTCATTTTCATAGCTTTGGTTTAGAAGGAGCTGAATCTGGCCATTTTAAGTTACCCTTCTCATCTCTATTTCTTGAATGTCCAGTTTAACTGAAAGTAGAAAATTTGACAAGTATAAAAATTTTAACGTTAAAAAAAAATCTATATAATCTTGACTAGCGGACATTTACACGCCTTCTCCATAAAAGAATGTGTATGGAAGTATCTGCAATCTCTCCCCTGGTTAACCTACCCAGGCTACAGTTCATGGTGAGAAATCTCAGTCCACCCTCTTTAAGAAAACAGAGGCCCAGAGAAATTCAGTGAATTAGCCAAGGTCACATAGCAGAGTCAGAAGGAGACTCAGTTTCTGACTCAAAGACTGGTTTTCACTCCATTATACCCTATTCTCATCAGCTAATGAGTCAACAGTTCCTTGGAATACCTATCTTTTTTCTTTTTATAAAGATAGAACTGTGATGTTGAGAGCCACTTATCTACACAAAAGAGTATCATGAAGGGTACACAGGTGGAAATGAGGTAGGACAGGTAGGACAGATCTCATGTGGATCAGCTCATAAGAGCCACGGCCAAGGAGGGCACGTGTGTAAAGTTCTCGGGGTTCTGAAAATCGCCAGTTATTTTCCTGTAGGGCATCCTAATGTGATAACTAAGAAACATATTTTGTATGTTTTCATGTGTCTTGGAAACCAAATAGACTCTGGGTATTATGGTTCTTCTGTTTTAATTTAGCTATACAATTAGCTGTACAAACAGACAAAGATAGTGGCTAAAGCCCTTTGACGTAGATGAACCAAGAAAACATGTACATTTCTGAATTGCTTTTCCCTGTTAGAAAATGTATATGTGGGTGAGTAGGGGGAGAGAAGAAGGTCTGTGGATCTTGCCTTTTGTTCCACACACATCCTTTCAGCGTTTCCCAAAGCTGAGACACAAAAGAGCATATGCTTTATTGTAAATGATGCATTTATGTTTAAGATTGTCTTCTGTGTATTACAAGAGATACTAGTTTGTCATACACCCTGTACTGCTGCAAAGTTTCCTTTCAAGGCACATTTACATAAATTGAAAGATCAAATTTGGGCTTCCCTGGTGGCGCAGTGGTTGAGAGTCCGCCTGCCGATGCAGGGGACGCGGGTTCGTGGCCCGGTCCGGGAGGATCCCACGTGCCGCGGAGCGGCTGGGCCCGTGAGCCATGGCCGCTGAGCCTGCGCGTCCGGAGCCTGTGCTCCGCAACGGGAGAGGCCACAGTGGTGAGAGGCCCGCGTACCGCAAAAAAAAAGAGATCAAATTTAAATAAAAACATTAAGACAATGAGGGTGTGTATACATGCTAAAAATTTGCAAAGGCTCAGGGACCAAAAGCCAGAAGAAATTATGTGGATACGTACCCACTAACCATTTAAATGAACCGAGAACCCAGACATCAGAGTTAGGACTCTGGGGTCATTATGGAGAAACTGGGGAGCCCCCCCCGTCCCGCCCCCACACCGAAATCCCTGCAGCTGCTGTGTAGGCTGACAGCCCTAGTCACCTTGGGCAACCTGTAGAGAACTGAAAGTCGGGCCGGTTCCTGGAGAGTGGGCCTTCGTTATAAATGCCTTCATGGTCTAAATATGCTACCCCTTAAGAACTTCAAGTGGTGGGTGATCTGCCTTGGTAAGAGGTCATCAAGCCCCTGGTTCCAAGGCTGCGTTCTGGTGGTGAGCTTTGGGCTGGGTCCTGACAGGGCCCATGCAGGTGTGGCTGGGGGGGGGGGGGGGGGGGGGGGGGAATAAATTTAAAACAATAATATAGAGAGAAGAGAAAAATATAGGTATTTTATTGACACCTGAGTGAACATTAGGGGGGGGGGTGATCTCCCGCAGGCTCTCTCTAGTGCTTGCTCTCCATGCGACACAATGCTCACCCACTTCTTTCAGCGTAAGGTTTCTAAAGACTGAATTTCAGAGTTGTAAAACTTCAAACGCCCAAGCATCCTCTTTCCTTGGTTTGTAAACAGCGGCTGCGGTGTGGACAGGCAGGGAAGGTGGTTGGAAGTGGGGGCCAGGGATGGAGGAGTGATGGGTCACTGCCAGGAAACTAGAAAGGAGCAGACAGCGGGCAGGTTTAAGGAGACAGGTGAGTGGGAGAGAATCCCAGAAGACCAAGGAGTAGAGAGAAGCATCAAGGAAATCGACTGCTGTTCACGCTCGGCCAGTGAGCTTTAGAAACCATCCTTTATGGTTTTTGAAGGAAATCAGCTGGCTTGAGTAGGCGGTGGTAGGTTGTTTATTAAAGTGATGCATCTTAGGTAGCACTGAACAAATGAAGTATGTCAATAGTGTTAGGAGACCACTTTAAAAGATGGGGAATTCGAAGCTGGAAGGAAAAGGAAAGGCACTCAAAGGCACGTTTCCTCAGCTCCCTGGGAAGAAAGCAAAGGAAGGAGGGTCAGGGGACAGACAACAGGAAGCAGGAGCCCCGCCCTGCTCGGGGAGGGTGAGAGGGAGCCCTCCCTGCTGGGGGGGGCCCCTCCCTTCACAGAAGCCGGAGCAGCACAGCACAAAAAGGAAGAGCCAGGGAGAAGGCACCGGGGAGGATGGTGAGGAGGGCGGAGGCTGGCCCAGGAGAGGGTGCACCTGGGAGGGCAAGGGTGGAGCCTGGGTCCCTCCCAGGCAGACCTCTGAGCCTTGGTGCCCTCATTTCAAACTGGTGGCAGCATCAGAACTCAACTCACAGAATGGTCTCCAGGGGTAACTGAAAACATGCAAACTCGCTTTGCTGAAGACAGAATAACAAAGCCAAAAAGTAAAACAGACAGTAAAAGGCAGAAAAAGATCTTTTAAAGGTTTATGGGCAGAGTAAAGGAGCTTGTTGTAGCTTCCCCTGAGAGAGGGGAAAGGGAATGGATAAGATTTGCAGCACCAGGAATAGAAGAGGAATTTATGAATTAAAAAAAATGTGATCCAGAGGACAAGCAAACTGAAAAGACAGCCAAGAAGACGGGGGAGGGATCAGTTAGGAGAGGGCAAGACCAAGGAGAGATTGAGGTGCTGGCTACCCCCAGACCCAAGGTCCAGTCAAGGGTGCTGGCTTCTCCGGTGGAAATGTCAAGGAGAAATGGCGAGAGGCCAAAAGATGGGAGAACATGGGAAAGTCTTAGGTGATAATAGATCACTGGCTGTCTGTTTTAGAAAGAACCAGGGGATGCTTTTGAAAAGCTCTGAGCCCTCCTTACCAGTTTTAGACAAATCCAATCCCAACCAGGAGAACAGACCTGAGTAATGAACAAGTTGTTGGGAAAGGTAGAAACCAGCCCGCTAAGATGAGGAGGTAGCATCTCACTGGTGGCAGGTCATTCCCAGCATGAGAAAAGTAATGATTTTGCACCTCAAGTCTTCCCGCGGTCTTGAGGGAAGTCCTGGAGGACTGTGTGGAAAGGTGGTCAGGGGGAATAAGGCCAGGCCAAGACTGTTGCTCTCATCTGGCTCCATTTTCCTCTGGGTCTGAATAAGAGGACGCAAGGGTCTGACGTGCAGCGTGAAGAATGTAAGATAGACACAGGAGAGGACTTCCTGGCCATGAGGGATTTAGTCATCAGGACAGTCTACTTAATGAGATGCTAGCTCGTTCTTCTGAAGTGGTCTCTTTAAAAATGAGAGAAATCTCGCCTCTCTGAAGTGGGTGTGTATGAAACTGCTAAAACGGAGGATGCACTCAGTGACCTCCTAAGGCAACCCCCAAATTTACTCAGTCACCCATGGCAGGTGCCCTAGAGCAGTGGAAAATGGGTCGAGAGTTCTTCTGACAGCTGTTGACCAGGGGTGATTGAAAGTGTCTCGTGTAGAAATGATGTCAGGACGGGCGTCTAACAGGACTGAGTAAAGGAACGAAAAGCTTAGTTCTTTTCCTCCTTTATTCAATAACCCATACGTTGCTTTCTTCCTTCCGGCGTGGATTTTTACCCATTACTGCCTTACTCTCCCTTTGCTCGTGTGGGTTTCCCCGTCCTAAAATTGGGCAGGGGTCCTCCAGCTGCCGCATCCTATCAGTGAGTGCACAGGCCTGGAGAGGAAGGCTGAGGACTGCAGGCTGACTGGTTTCAGCCCCAAGAGAGGCTGTGAACAAAGTCAGAAGCCCCGTCCCCTTTGAGTGTAGATGGCTGGCAGGGAAGGAGGCTTGCTGGGCTGGAGCAGAGGAGACAGGGAGAGGCCAGAGATGGAGAAGAGAGATTTGAGGCCAGAAAACCAGATGGTACCCTAAGAGAGATGCCTGGCAAGGTTAGGATTTAGAATAGAATCAAAGGGAAGACCCAGGGGCAGAAGCCCAGTAATGCCCAGGGGGTGGTTGAATTAGCCGACGGCCAAAGACTCGAGGCTGGTTTGAGGTTGAAGGAGGCTTTCCAAATGGCTCGGTCGGCTCCATGGACAGACAGTCAGGATGACCTTGTGTAGTAGTCACTCGAATGCAGAGGGAGATGCGAGGTTGGGTGCCTTTTGAATACAGGGCGATGACGTGTGTTTGTGTGTGCCCTGCCACATTCTAGAATGTTCTTCCCTTGCTCAGGACCTACGCCCAAAGTAGGGCGGTGACAGCCATTGTTTCCTGGGTGGTTTATTGCAGGACGTAATTCCTGCAGGTCACATCCCCCAGAGTGGTGTTTGGAGCATTCTAGAAGCTGAATTCTTGCAT